CCCTGAGAAACGACCCACCTGCCTTGGCTGGTGTTGTGGTTCTGAGTCTCCCCTGCTTTGCTGAGCTCTGGTGGCTGGATGCCCTGAGCCAGTGGCTTCCGGGGACTTGTGTCCTAGCCCGTGGTTCAGTTATTCAGAGTGACGTCATGACCGGATAGTGTCTGGCACACAGAAAGTGTTCGATGCATGGTGGCTCCCAGGGAGAGAGGAGAGGGTGCTGGCTGCCCAGTCAGAACAGATGTGGATAGGGAGCTGCGGTGGCAAAGAGGAAGGCAAGAGGGTGGGGCCGAATGGGTGGGCAAAGGCTTTGGCAGCCTGGGGATGGCTGGAGGACGTCCAACTGCCTCTGGTGGCACCGGGCTCCCTACTGGCCGGCCCTCAAGCCCGTTGATCGGAAGGGGTGAGTGGCACTTGGCATCCTGGGCTACATGAGTTCAGAATTTCTTGCCAAAGAAAATTGTGCAAGACATTGAAATGGTTGGAGAGAGCCCTTCATGTCCTCGCCTGGCCCCTCCCAGTTTAGTGGTCCTGGAGCTGTTTTACACAGAAACAGTCTTGTCAGTGGAGATGCGACTGGCCACCGCCCAGTGGGTACCACCCAGTTTTGCCTCTATGAAGCAAATTCACTTTGACATCGTCAGCAGCCTGGGCGGGCCTGCTCCCGGGTTCTCCTTTGGACTGGCTGTAACTTCCCACTGGGTCCTTCATGAGTTAAATGAAATTCTGACGAGTTTGTTATCTATTTGTGTGAAGGCAGTTTGTGGAGAAAACCTTCCTAGAGGCAGGTGTTGCGGTGCAGCAGGTTAAGCAGCTGCTTGGGATGGCCCATATCAGAGAGGCTCGTTTGAATCCAGCTCCCTGCTAATGTGCCTGGGAAGGCAGCGGAAGATGGCCCAAGTCCCTGGGACCCGGCAGCCACGTGGGAAGCTTCTGGCTTTAGCCTGGCCCAGTCCCAGCCGTCGCAGAAAATTTGGGGAGTGAGCCAGCAAATGGAAGATCTCTCTCTCTCTCTCTCTCTCTCTATATATATATATATACACACACATATCACCCTCTGCCTTTTGAATACATTAGTAAATCATAAAAAAGAAAAAGAAAGGAGGTGAATAACAAACAGTAATGTGAGGTGCTCTGGAAACAGAGGGTGTCGGGGGATTGGCGGGGCGGGGCTGCCTGCTGAGGACCCTGTGACCTGGGGTGAGTTAATATCCAGGCGAGGAAGGGAAGGGTCTTTGGGCCGGCCGCGGGGCCAGTGTGGGCAAAGCCATGGGCATGGCTTGTCGGGGGACCGGGGCATTCTGGGGTGCCTGTAAAAGTATGAGGAAGGGAGGTGGGGGGAGGTTGGGGGGGCCAGCTCAGGATCCTGGAAGGCTTCCTGTGCTGCAGGAGGGAGTTTAAGGGGCTGTGAGCTCAGACCCCATACCCTGTCTCCCCATTCACAGAATTCCCTATAAGTCACATGCACCCAGAGAGTTCCCGGGGTGGGGGGCCTAGACAAGAGGAAAACGCTGACTGCACGTGGGACACATCCAGTGCCACCTGCGAGCAGTGCTGGGAATGGGGCTCTCCCGCGGTCCCCAGCGGGCACACTCTCTCCTGTCGCGTCCTCGCTTCCCTCAGCCCCTCCCTGCACACCCTGTGGCTCCGCCATCCCCGGCAGCTCACCCCAGGCCTCAGTCAGAGAAAGGAGAACAGGGAGCCTGGCACTCCCCAGGGGAGGCTCTGGCCTGTACACTGCCCCCCGTGGAGCTGAGGCTGGTGATTAGTGGGGTTAATTATCTGCAAGCCATTTCCGATTGGCACAAGCCCACCCACCCACAGAGCCTGCTGGGCTCAGGGTCAGGATGCTGGGGCATGGGCTACTCTGCATGGGGGGTAGGGGGTATCCTGACCCCTATGATAGCCAGAAGGTGGCTGTCCTGCCCCTCCCAGACCCCCGGCCCTCCCCCCACAACTGCCTCCCCCTACCCTCGATTGTGCTCGCCTCTACACAAATCCCGTCCCCTCCCCTCACCTCCCCAGGTTTGGAATGAAATCCCGGCCCCACTAGGCCCCGACATAAACACTCTGATTGGGGCTAATTATAAGGGCCAGGTTGGGAGCCTGGAGCCTTCAGAAAGCTTGGCTTTCAAACAAAGGGCCCAGGGCTCAGCTCCCAGCCCAGGCCGGCTCCTCTCCAGTCTTCCTGGTCCTGAGCCACTGCAGCTACCCCCAGCCCAGTGGCCTGCAAGCTCCCACCACGTCCCAGTCCACTGCTTTTACCTCAGCCCTTCCAGGCCTCAAATCCTGGGGCCCTCCCAGACGGCTCAGAGGAGCCACAAGTGTGCAGGGGAAGGCCGGGCCGGGCGGCTGGGGAGGGGGCAGGGGGGCGGGGAGGCGCAGGGGAAGCCAGCTGTGACAGCCGGGCCCTAATTAGCCCGCTTCAAAGCCGGCTGGAGAGGCGGCCCGCGTGTGCGCCCTGCTCACTCAGGCGAGCGAGACATTTCTGTCCTAATCAGGGGAGAGAGAGGGAGGGAACGCGGCCCACCGCCACCCGTGGGGCCTCCAGGCACCCGGCTGACACCCGGCGCCAGGCAGAGGTGCTGGGAACACAGCCTGGCAGGAAGGCCAGGTTACAAAGTCCAGCGACCCCCTGGTGCTGCTCATACTGGGGGGGGGGGTCTCTCCACAGATGAGGACCTGGGTGCAGAGGAGGGAAACTCCCCCCTCCCCGCGTGCCCCCCACCGGTATGAGGGCACTCGAAAAAGTGCGTGGAAGATGGAATTCAAAGCAAAGTTTATTTTAGTGCAAAAACTGAAAAATCCACACATGGTTTTCTCATAATATACTTCATCCATGAACTTTTTTTTTTTATATTATAGTTATTTGAAAGTCAGAGTTACAGAGAGAGAGGGACAGACAGATAGAGAGAACTTCACTCCCCAGATGGCTGCAATAGCCAAGGCTGTGCCAGGCTCAAGTCAGGAGCCAGGAGCTTCTTCCGGGTCTCCAACGTGGGTGGCAGGCGCCCAAACGCTTGGGTCTGACGTTCCCAGGCCATTAGCAGGGAGCTGGATTGGCAGCAGAGCAGCCGGGACTTGAACCGGTGCCCATATGGGATGTCGCCGTCCCAGGTGGCAGCTTTACCAGACCCCCACCCAAGGATTTTTTTTTAAGGACTTCCCCTAAGGCGTCTCCTACTTCTAGTCTCCATGTGAGGTCCGTCTGTCTGTCTCTTTCTCCTTTTCTCCCCCAACTACAACACTACTTGACCCCCATTCTGCTGTGTGGCACCCTGTCACCTCGTCCCCTGAGAGAGGGGCACACTGGACAGCATGACTCGTCTGTCACAGGGGGCTCCAGGGTTTGTGAGGCCAGCGGTTTGGCTTCCCTCGCCCTGCTCCCCCTTTCAGCAACAGGGGTTATTAGAAAGTTGGGGGGGGTAGAGAGGGAAGGTCTGGAAACCTCCTCAAGTTAGGGTGGCGCTGGCCATGTTTCTCACGCCAAGAACCAAAGATGTTTCAGGATCCCCAAGGGTCAGTGGCCCCCAGAAGTGGGAAGTGAGGAGGGAGACAGAGCTGGAGCAGGACAGGCTGCCGTGCCGAGCAGTGATGCACAGGGCGACCCTGCGAAGTGGCAGGAGCTTGGCTGGGCTGCCCGCACACACACACGTGTCCCTGGACACTCAGGACCATGTCTCCCACTTCCTGAAGCCGGCCCAGACCGGATACCCAGCACCCTCTTGGAGAGCTTCTGGAAGTCGACAGCTGCAGGTCTCAGAGGCCAACCCAATCGGAAGCTGTTTAGAAGTTCCACTGGGAAACTCCAGGAGCCTCTTCTGGGCCTGGCCCTTAAAAGGATCCTCTTGCAGGACAAAAAGCATGGAACTCACGGCCACGTTCTCGGGAGGGGTGCCTGGGCGGGAGATGGGAATGTGTGACCCACAGGTCCACCAGGACAACCAGCAGGACAGGGAAGGGGAGGCCGCTTCAGGTGAGGGACTTCCTTCTTGGCCCTGACCCTGACCCCTCACCGACCACAAAGCCTCACTCTCCCAGAGGGAGGGGCCCAGCCACCTCCCCCGTGGAACCCCTCCCTCGCCCGGGGGACCGCTGAGAAATCTGCAGCAGCAGACCTGCAACTGCAAGTTTCCACCGGCTTTCTGGAACCAGGGAGTGGAGACCCCTCTCCCAACGCAGCGGGAGCTCCTCCATTCTTTCCAAAAGAGGCACCTGGAACATACCCCTCCCCCCCCACTGGAAGAGCACTCTGAAGTAGGGGAGGGGAAGGGCACGGTCCCCAGGGCACCAACCATCCCCTCCACCGTCAGAATGGGGGGCTGGGGACAAGCCCGCCTGAAGCTCACAGAGCTGAGATCGTGGGGGGGGGGTGCAGAGTGGGGGCCCTCCCAGATCTTCAGCGGAGACCAACATTCCTCTTCCCACTGGGCTCAGTCCCAAGCCCTGGAAAATCCCACCCCATTCCCGGGCCTCCGCCATTACCAGGAGAGGCACTCCCAATTTGTTTGTAATTTAACTCTTTCCTGCAGCCCTTGTGGGCTCCCTTCAGAATCCTGCAACAAATGGAGCCATGGGGCAGGCAGGGACCCTTCCCTCCCCCCCACCCCCCCACCCCGCCCCAGCTTCCGGGACAGCTGGGGGACCTTGCATTGAGACTTCACACACAGCACCTTTCATAAAGGTGGCTTGAAGGAGACACCAGCAGAAATGATTCTGGGGAAAGATTATATATTTTGGGAGGGGGGCTCTGCCCCAGTTCCCCTCCCCCAACACAAGCCACCATGAACAATCCGTGGCAAGTAGGGCTTGGAACCTACTTTCTCCCTGGTCCCAGTCAGACCAGGAAGGCTGGGAAGGCACTCAGCAAGGTCTCAGCATGAAGTCCCCCTCTCTCCCCCACCCCCAACCAAGGAGGTAAGGCGGGGAGGGAAGGAGCTATGGTTTGGTTAAACTAATAAAACGTTACAACCCTGTTAAATACAATTAAAGGGCTAGATCGCTCAAAGATAATTACATACACTTTATTAAGATGATTATTAGCTTTTAATTTGCACTATTATCAAGAAACAGGAGAGGGTGAAAGTCGAGTTATGTGGCATACTTGTCTTCAAATCAATTCTTTGGAATTAAAATTCTAAAATATTCCAAATAGTTGAGGGAAATGATGCATTGGAAACTGGGATTCTCATCCCAGCAGTCAGACGGTCTACCTCACTTCCCAGGCAGCTAACTTAAGAATAAAGTCTTGGCTTTTGTTTGTGGGGGAAGGGGGAGATAAGAAACATCTGTTGTAAACATTCTATCAATCTTGTGATATAGAAAGTCATGTAAACACTCCGGCAGGCTGCAGCCAGAGCCTGCCCAGAGCCAGAGCACACACCACCCGTGTGTGTGTGTGTGTGTGTGTGTGTGTGTGTGGACAAGTTGGAAAAGAAACCAGTCTTTTGTCAAAGGAAAACTAAAAATCCCACCCGGCCACCCATCCCCCTCCCTCCAACCCAGCCCGTTTTTTAGTGCTTTTCTGGGGGAAAAAAAATAGAAAAAGAAGCCACAAACAACAATAAAACCCACACGGCACACACAAACCAGCTCGCAGACTCTAACCGAATGCCAGGCACCGTGCTCCCTAGGGAAAGAGAGAGAGAGAGAGAGGCAGTAGAGGGAGAAGGGACGAGAGGCCGGTCTCCCATGGACCCGGCCTGCAGCCAATGCCCGTGGCTAATGCTCTGTTGGGTGGGGGCAGCCGCCAGGCCCGGGAGGTGGTTTCAAGACGCACTTTGCCGCCGGGCATTTTCTGCCAGGCCTAAGCGCTGAGGGCAGGAGTGGCAAAGAAGAAAAGAGGAAGAACGGAGCGGTCCTCTGGGCCCACTGGCTCCCCGCGCCCCAGCCCCCACCCCAGGCCCCGGCACTGGGCCGGTGTTGGTTGGTTTTGTTCTGTTTTCCAATCTTCATCCCCGTGCGGAGCTCTCCGGAGACCGGGCGAAGGAGACAGGCCACTTGAGTGGGGAGAGCAAAGAGGGAGAGGGAAATAAAAAAATCCCAAGTCTCTTTCAAAAATACCCTGCAGCTTCCCCAGGCCCAGCGTCCACGAGGGGGCTCGAAGATGTGGCTCTGACGGAAACCGGACGGAACCAAGGCCAACTTCTTCCAGCCTGCTCGGCGCGGGGCGCGGGGCGAGGCGCCGCCCGCCGAGCCCCACGCAAGCCCCAGCCCAGGTGCGCGCGACTCCCGAACGGTGGACCCCGGCCCTCCTTAAAAAAGGAACCTGCCCCCCCACCCAACTCCTTCAGCCCTGGCGCCGTCGCTGCTCTTTTTTTTTTTCTTTTTCCTTTTAAATAGAAAATATATAATTAAATTTACAAAGGCTATTTACAGTTTTAATTACAAACCTGGTGGGCTGTTGAGCAGAGTTTTCTCTCTCTTTTTTTAAAAAAAGACCTTAGGAAAAAAAAAAAAAAAAGAAATGGTTTCGACTGTTCTTTATTTAGAAAAATAAAATCCGGGGCGCGGGCCGTCCCCGCGCGGCCGCTCACACGGTGGTCTCCCCGTGCCGGCCGCTGGCCAGCCGCGCGTAGAACTTCCTCCAGGAGTGCAGCGTCTTGCCGGACCAGATCCAGAAGCCGGACGTGATGCCCACGATGAGCGTCATGAGGTACTTGATCATGTAGACGGTGAAGTCGGGCGAGGTGCGCGGCGTGTAGTGCGCCGGGCACGGGATGGCCAGGCTCTTGCAGTGCTGGCTCACCCAGGAGCGCTCCCAGTGCTCGCGGAAGGCCTGCTCGTAGAAGTAGCAGGCGATGACGATGGTGGCGGGCACGGTGTAGAGCACCGAGAACACGCCGATGCGCACCATGAGCCGCTCCAGCTTCTCCGTCTTGGTGCCGTCGTGCTTCATGATGGTGCGGATGCGGAAGAGCGACACGAAGCCGGCCAGCAGGAAGGAGGTGCCGATGAACAGGTAGACGAAGAGCGGCGCCAGCACGAAGCCGCGCAGCGGGTCCAGGCTGTTGAGGCCCACGAAGCACACGCCGCTGAGCAGGTCGCCGTCGATCTGGCCCATGGCCAGGATGGTGATGGTCTTGACGGCCGGCACGGCCCAGGCGGCCAGGTGGAAGTACTGCGAGTTGGCCTCGATGGCCTCGTGGCCCCACTTCATGCCGGCCGCCAGGAACCAGGTGAGCGACAGGATGACCCACCAGATGGAGCTGGCCATGCTGAAGAAGTAGAGCATCATGAAGAGGATGGTGCAGCCCTCCTTCTTGGTGCCCTGCACCACGGTGCGGTAGCCGTCCTCGGAGAAGCGCTCGTTGCACACCACGCGCTCCTGGAGCACGAAGCCCGCGATGTAGGCCACCGACACCATGGTGTAGCAGCCCGACAGGAAGATGATGGGCCGCTCCGGGTAGCGGAAGCGCTGCATGTCCACCAGGTACGTGGTGACCGTGAAGAAGGTGGAGGCGCAGCACAGCACCGACCAGGTGAGGATCCAGAGGCGCGCGAACCGCGTCTCCTCCTGCGAGAAGAACATGGAGCCGTCGGGCCGCGCCGGCTCGCACGGCGCCGCGCAATCGCGCTCACCCAGAAACTTGTAGCTGAGGTAGGACGGCACCTTGAGGACGCGCGGGCAGTGGAACGGGTGCTCCAGCGTGGCGTAGCGCGGGGGCGCGCCGCCGCCGCCCGGGCCGCCCGGGGTGCCCCCGGCGCCCGGCTGCAGTCCTGGCGGCGGCGCGGTGGTGAGCAGCGCGGGCGCCCCGTCCTCCGAGTGGTTCTGGCCCACGCAGATCTGCTCGGCGCCGTGGCGCGGGAAGTGCTCGCAGCGCAGGCGCTCGGGCCACTGGAACCCGAATTTGTTCATGAGCGCTTCGCAGCCCTGGCGCGCGCGCTCGCAGATGGAGCGGCACGGCGGGATGGCCTGCTCCAGCACGGTGCACACGGGCGCGTACATGGAGCACAGGAAGAAGCGCAGCTCGGGCGAGCACTGCACCTTCACCAGCGGGTAGAACTGGTGCACCTCCAGACCCGCGTCCTCCTGGTTCGTGTGGCCCAGCAGGTTGGGCATGATGGTCTGGTTGTAGGCGATGTCCGTGCACAGCGGGATGGAGATGGGCTGGCAGAAGCCGTGGTCTGGGATGGAGATGCCCTTCTCCCCGTGGAACTGGGCCGGCCCGGCGGCGGGCAGCAGCAGGAGCAGCAGCAGCGGCGGCGGCGGCGGCAGCAGCAGCAGCAGGCGGGGCAGGGCGCTGCGGGGCCGCATGCTGGCCGCCGCCCCCCGCCCGGCTCCCGGGCGCCCCCCCGCCCCCGCCCCCAACCCCGAGACCGCGCGCCTTCCCCGCTGCCGCCGGGCTGCGGCCGCCGCCTCCCGCGCCGCTTTGCAAACTTTGCTCGCGGCCGCAGAGTTGGGGAGGCCGGGCGGGGGAGGGGGCGGTGCGCCTGCCCGCTCGCTCGCCGCGGTCGCACTGAGCCGCCAGAGCCGCGGCGCACCGCTGCCCTCTCTCCTCCCCTGCCTCCGCCTCTCGCCTCCCAACTCCCCCTCTCGCCTCCCTCCTCCACCCGGCGACTCCTTTGTGCCTCCTCCAGCCCTCACCTCGGCCTCTCCGATCCCAATTAGTCGGTTTCAAGGGGGCCCCCGCTGGCGGCCCCGCCCTCTCCTTAGCCCCCCAAAAAAAGGGATCCTTGAAACCGCCCCGTCGAGCTCTAAGCACCGTCCCAAAATGTGCTCTCGGCCAATCAGATTTAAAATCGAGGACCAGCCCGGAGGGCCGGATTGGTCGACCACAACATAATGAGATCAGAAATCAGATGCCAACAAAACTGCCCCCCCCCCACGCCACCGCCGCCCCTTTGCTTTTTAAAGAGACAGCTGTTCGTACGGTGCGGGCCGTCGGCCCAGCCCGGGACTTCTCCGGAGCTGCGGCTGGCTCAGGGCCCTGCGAGCCTGGCTCACGCCTCCTCGCGGGGGGCCTGGACCCCTGCCCCGCAGGGGTCCCTAAGTCCTCACCCGAGCCCTGGCTCCCCGAGCCCCACCTATTCCAACCCAATTTTACAAATCAAGTGAAGAAAAAAAAAAACTCAAGTATAAAATTTAGGGGGGAGGAGGGGAAGGATGAGCAGATTTCTTAAAAACTGAGCAGTTTGCAAAGACTTTGCTCTCTGCCTCTTCTCGTGGAGTCCAGACAAAAGTTCCACTTCTTCCGCCGCACAGACCCCTAGTAGTTGGTCTCGCCCCTCCCCCTACACACACCCTTAAATAACCCTCTGGAAAAGGAGAGCCTGTTTCTTTAAGAAGCTCTTAAAGGGGCCGGTACTCCCGGGCGTAATTGCCCCATAGCCCGCACAAAGGAGCCCATTATGGTGCTTTGTGTTCGGTGGCACCTCAAAGTGAGAAAACTCAGGAACTCAGAGGCCCGGGGCTGCGGGCTGGGGGCGGGGCGGGGCGTGGGCCCGGAGGGCTGCCCCGCGCCGCGGCCTCGGCCTCCCCTTCTTCCGAGGCAAATCTGAATTATGCAAAGTAAACTTTAGTTGCTGGGAGGAGGAGGTCTTAATCGAAAGTTAATGGTAGGGGGTGAAGGGCAGTTTTGAGCTCAGACACGACTCTAGGGCCCTGCGAGCATTGAGGGGGAAACTCGCCTTCTCCCCCCTGCCCCCACCTCGGCTCCGCCTCCTAAAAGCTTCCAGACCCGGTCTCCTGGGAGAGGGGGGCGTTCTCCCCAAACCTTAAGCGATTCCACACCAGGAAGGGGTGGAGCTGCGGGAGCGAGGAGGCGGGGGCTCGCTCACCTGGCCAGGGGCTGGCGGGGGGTGGGGGGCGGCCCGCGGGGTTCCTGTGCCTTTAGACACATTTTCTCCCCCCCACCCACACTCCTTCCAGGATTTACAATTGTGGAGGGCAGGGAGGGCTAAGGAGGAGAGGGAGAAATTGGCACGCTGCTCTCCTGGGCCTGACGCTGGATGCTGGGTCAGTCACTGCCGTGGTCTCTCGGGAAGGCAGGAGGAAGGGGACTTAAAACGAGAAAAGAAACTTGATTCTGGGAAGCCCCTTGGCTTCTCGGCCTGGGCCAGAGCCTCCCAGCCCGCCTCTGGAAAAGGATTGCTTTTAAAAACAACAAAAAGACGTTGGAAAGAAAGGATGAAGAAAGGCGTGGCAAGGACACGGAACCCCACAGTGGGTTCCAGGGCTCCGGGCTGACAGCTTCGCCGAGGGGCTTGTCCATGATTGAATGAATGGCATCGCCATTTTCAGGTTCTTCACAGCTTGAACGTGCTCCTTACTGAATCCTGGAGAAGTCGCCTTTTGCCTGCTCTAGGAAGAACAGTTTTCCCTCAAAACAAAGGGATACACTTTTTTTTTTTTTCAAAAAAAAAATTATTTTTGACAGAGTGGGCAGAGAGAGAGAGAGAGGTCTTCCTTTGCCGTTGGTTCACCCTCCAATGGCCGCCACGGCCGGTGCGCTGCGGCCAGCGCACCACGCTGATCCGAAGGCAGGAGCCAGGTGCTTCTCCTGGTCTCCCATGGGGTGCAGGGCCCAAGCACTTGGGCCATCCTCTACTGAACTCCCGGGCCATAGCAGAGAGCTGGCCTGGAAGAGGAGTGACCAGGACAGAATCCAGCGCCCCGACCGGGACTAGAACCCGGTGTGCCGGCGCCGCTAGGCAGAGGATTAGCCTGTTGAGCTGCGGCGCCGGCCGGGATACACTTTTTTAAAACTTTAATTTCTTTATTTTTGCTGTTCCTCCACTTGCATTGTCCCCACTGCTGCCCCCCCCGTTTGGCCCTAGGGCGTCTTTCTTTTTGCTTTTTAATTTCTATTTTATGTACTTAAAAGGCAGAGGGACACAGAGAGATCTGCCCTCCACTGATTCACTCCCCAAATGCCCTCAACAAGGAACTGGGAACTCCAGCCGGGTCCCCCACGTGGGTGACAGGGGACCCAACTAACTTGAGCCATCATCTGCTGCCTCCCGGGATATGTGCCTCGCAGGAAGCTGAGCGGCCCCTGGAACCCAGGCACTGCTGCGTGGGAGGCCGGCGGCCCGCTGTGCCACAGAGGGGAAGACAGGCTCCGGCCCCGCTCAGGAAGCTCACCGCCTGGTAGGAAATTGAGAGCAAGTCTCCCATGCAAGCGCAGCATCTTAAGTTTCCTTCCATGACAAACCCGTTTTCCTGCCCTCTGGCCAGGCCTGAGTGACAGTTACTCCCTCGCTGTCCTCCCCAACGCGGAGGGGGAGCGGGAGCCGCTTCAACACACTTCTGCTGAGACTTCTGGTTCCAGATCACCCTGGTAGGTGCTGTGGGATCAGCAGGAAGCTGCCGTCAGCAGTGGAGTCGCGCTACTGGCGTCCCAAATGGGGGTCTCATCCCCTGCACCAAATGCCCGCCTCCAAATAGTGTGCCTTTATCCACTTAACAGCGGTATACTGAGTGCAGGCTTCCGTTCCGCTGGGAGACACTCACTTACAGGGCTGGGGAGGGCATGTGGCGGAGCTGGAGTCCAGGAGCCTTGGAGTGAGAAATGAAGTGGGATGAGCTAGAGGCCAGCAGGAAGCAGACCTGCAGGGCCTCGCAGGCCGCGTGAGCAGTGTTGGGTGGAGAAATAGGAATCAGAACCGATGGGGAGGCAGACAAGTAAACAGCCGAGGGAACGGTGCATACAAGGGGCGCATACAAGGGTGTGGTGGGGTGCTGGGGGCAGGGAGCACAATGCTTTGGCCCCGTTAGAGCCCCATGTGCTTCTGGGAATGTCTGCAGAGGAGGCTTTAAGAAAGCAGGGGGCCTTCGATACCTTGCAGTCCAGGAGTCTGGGCTCCTGGAGAGGGTGCTGCACAGAGAGCTTAGGGTTTTAGCCGGCGCCTGTGGGCAGCTGGAGGAGCCACAGGTACCAGTGCAGAAGCAATCACAAGGGACCAGGCTAGAAGGCAGAGGAAGACGGGTACCGCGTGTTCTCACCTACAGGTGGAAGCTAAGGAAGTGGACTTCTGGGATGCAGCAGAGAGGGGGAGGGAGGCTGGTCAATGGGCACCAACATACATTTAGATAAGAGCAGTCTACAGCCTAGTGGGGTGACTACAGTTCACAGCAATGTGTTATGTGTTTTATAAGGAACTAGGAGAGAGCTTGAAGATTCACAGCACACACACACACACACACACACACACGAGTAAGGAGATGGAAATGCTAGCTACCCTGATTTGATCGCCGCGTTACACTCATGTATTGAATTATCACAGTGGCTCAGGAATATGCACTATTATTAATGTCAAAAAAAGAGAGATGGGAGAGGCCATTGTTTTGGCGTAGCAGGTTAAGCCGCCACCTGCAACACTGGCATCCCATATCAGAGCGCCACTTAGAGTCCCGGCTGCCCTGTTTCCAGTCCCCCTCCCTGTCAAAGCTACTGGAAAAGCAGTGGAGGATGGCCCAAGTGGGAGACCCAGATATAGTTCCAGCCTTGGCTGTTGCAACCATTTGGGAAGTGAACCAGCGGATGGATGGAAGACCTCTAGCACCCGTTTCTCTCTCTCTCCCTCTCTCCCTCCCTCCCTCCCTCCACCTGCACCTCTCTTTCTGTTGTTCTGCCTTTCAAATAAGTAAATAAATCTTTAAACAAAACAAAGGAAGAAAAAAAACGTTCATGCTTAGTGACACCCACACTAGATGGAAAGCTATGTGTCACAGAGGAGTGAAGTGACGACCGACTGTTGGCAGCAATATTCCACAACGGGAGGCGTGTCATGGGAGAACGGCCCAGAGGACGCTGCCACCAGCCATACAAACCTTGGGGCACTGCCCAGGGGGCCCCCTCCAACCTCCCATCTGGGGCCTCCGCCCTAACTCCTTGCTTCTTTTGCTCTAGAGCCCGTTGCTCCCAGAGGAGCCATGTGCAGGCTCTCCAGGGCTGCTTCTCCAGGGTCCCTGCGTGCTCAGCGGTTGGGTCCTCGACCCCGGGCCAGGGTGCTTTGCTTCCCAAGGCACTGAGGTCCCTGCACCCTAAAAGGGGGATAGCGGTGTGTGTGATTAGGAGGCAGAGAGCAAGGAAGAGGGTATCGCTTTAGATCCTTTAAGGTTCTAAAAGGGTTGTTTTTTTTTTTTTTTTGCTTTGTTTTTTGTTTTTTGTTTTTTGTTTTTTGTTTTTTTTTTTTTTTGACAGGCAGAGTGGACAGTGAGAGAGAGAGAGAGAGAGAGAGAGAGAGAAAGGTCTTCCTTTTGCCGTTGGTTCACCCTCCAATGGCTGCTGCGGCCAGCGCACCGCACTGATCCGAAGGCAGGAGCCAGGTACTTATCCTGGTCTCCCATGGGGTGCAGGGCCCAAGCACTTGGGTCATCCTCCACTGCACTCCCTGGCCACAGCAGAGAGCTGGCCTGGAAGAGGGGCAACCGGGACAGACTCCGGCACCCTGACCGGGACTAGAACCTGGTGTGCCAGCGCTGCTAGGTGGAGGATTAGCCTAGTAAGCCGCGGCGCCGGCCCTAAAAGGTTTTATTCTCTAAGTAAAGTAATCTCCTCTAAATGGACAGGTTTGGGCCTTCAGCATCTAGGAGGGAGCCCCCTCCTGGGCCTACCCAGGATCTTGCTGCCTTTGGGGAACCTGCCTTTCCTCCTGCAGCCCTGAGCCTGGCCACCAACACCTGCATGGGTGAGACTGCAGATTCCTGCCCCCCCCCAGGAGACCTGGGACTCCTGGGGCTCCCTCAGGGCACCTCACCCCAGCCCTAGGGGTACCCCGGCTGCCCTGGTTTTGGGGCAGAGGAGGGGGGGAC